AAAAAAAAAAAAAAAGAAATAAAAATAAAAAGAGAAATCAATTGCTTTCTTACCTTCTAGGAGCCCTCTTGTCCTTCCCTAACTACGTTCCTGCCTGTTGGCGTCCTTCTCACTTTCTCCCAGTTTGAATCGAATGGCGCCGCGCGTCTGTCCTTCTTGCTCGTTGCCGCGCAGTCTCGCCACTTCGTCGTTTCTCCCTTCCAGTGATCCTACCTGGCTTCCCTCTCCCGGTCGGTGGTCGATGGAGGGGCGCGGGTGAACGCGGTCGGACGACACAGTCCTTCCGCGGATTGCGGATATTGTGTCGGGAAGCCTCGTGGTACGGTGTCCTTGTTGCCGTGTTCCTTGCGACACATACACACACACACACACATATACACAGTCACGGACATACAGAGTGGAAGAAGAGCGGCGTCCGGTTTTTCCACTGGTGTGAATCGTTTCGTTTCGTCGGGACGGTTTCGCGAGGACTCGGTGGATCGTTCCACGGTCGTTCGTCGTGCTTCTTGGTGCTTCTCTCGGTTGTTCGTTCTCGTCTCGTTCTCGTCCTCGCTGCGCTTACGACGTACGTACGTCGCTTCGCTACAACACACCGGTTGTAAGGTTATGTTCACCCCTGTCACATCCGCGTGCCGCTTCGCGCGACCGTACTTTTCGCAATCAGTGAATCTGTCGCGGCGTACAGTGTTCCTTCGTCGTTTCGTCTAGTGTTCCGTCTACTACTCCGATCGTGTATTATTCGCGAGTGTTCATCGTTGCGAGGAGTTTGTGCCTGCGAGGGACACGCTCGGCCTCGACGGAGAGGAGTGGAGAGGAGAGGTGATTTACGAATGACGCTACCACGCCTGGAATCTTTTCGGAGTTCGGTGAGTGAATGCGTTCGAAGCTTGATTTTATCGGGGACGCTCCTCGTGGCGTCTCGCGATGCTCGCGTGTGCCTAGACGTTGTGTATTTCATCACGGTCGATTGTTCCTTTTCTTTCTCTCCCTTTCTCGTCAATATTTGTCTCCTGCCGAGAGCTCGTTGCAAAATATTTTTTTTTTTCTTTCCTTGCTGTATGTGATGATACGTTCGAGTGTTTGAACAGCGTCTAGACACACTGCGTGCGTATGTCGAGTCAAATTAAAATACTGTGTATGAACTGTCGATTTCGCAAGACGAATTTTAATTACATTCTCTTTGAAATATCGCGTATCTGTTTGAAACAATTTCTAAATATACGACACATGTGCAGTGTGCATGAATATGCATACTAAACGAACGATGTTAATTAACTCTGTTACTTTCAGACTTACAAAGGGTATCAGTTTTACAATTTAAAATTGCTTGCATGGTTTCCCCTGTTCGTTAAAAGGATTGTTTGCTTGTTTGGAAATATTAAAGTCGGTGAATGGAACGGAAAAGAATAGGAGGATCTCATGTTCTAATTCTTGAAGTTTATAGTCATATTTCATAGTTTTGTATTCACTGTACTTGCGCATTCAACGCGTGTGCAATAACAAGTTTTTGGTTTTATTAGCGATAGAATCAAACAGCGAACGCCAGTTCATTAAATTCTATAAAAACGACATTTCATACACTGTTATGCTTACACATACATATATATAACCTTGCTTATATATAAATATATAACCTCACACATATATATATAAATATATGCCATATATATATATATATATATATATATATATATGACCTTGTTATATATATAAAATCTTGTTTTTTCTTAATTCATATAGTGATTTTTATTTATTTTAACCAAATTTTATTCGTTTCTGAATTTTTCCCTTTGATGTAAAATAGCAGTTAACAGAAATGAATGATTTGGTACCCGTACAATGGTACAGTGAGAAAATATAATACTACAATGATAGCCGAGTAAAGTAAAGTTGAATGAATACGTAGACACGTGTTTACAGAGCGTTAATTTGAAGTTTCATTCGAATTTGAATTTGCACGCGGCGTAATAACTTTCGATTAGAACATTTAAAAAAACGCGCCCTTTTGTCGCCGCGAGAACCGGGTGGGTTCACACAGTGACTCGCATTAATATTCGGACGTTTCACGAGAAAGTATGCGCATTAAACCAATGAATAATATCAGTGGACGAACAAATGAGAAATTGTAAGTAATAGATTTTTTTTTTTTTTTTTATAGGTTAGCGACTTGCTCTCTTTATTTTTCAAATTTGATTTATTCCGTTGTCAACTATGTACATTCATATAAATTTTTATTTACGGTTTATTTTATTTACTGTATTTCGCTTGCATTAAAGCATAGTGATGGCGAATGACATATGCATGAAAGTAGATACCTGTCTACTGTAACAATTGCAATTATGTTTAATCAAATCATTTAGTTAAATTTTTATTTTATTTTAATCATTTTTAATCTACTGTATATACAGTAGACAATTAGCTACATTAATCACAACAATGTCTAGAAATTCCAAAAGAAAAAAAAAAAAAATTAAACGAATTACGGTCATACACGTGCGTCAGTAGTGATAGAATAATGCTGCGTACACAACGGTGTCCGAATGCATTAAAATGCGAGCGACTGTGTGAATCAGAGCGAACGATAAGACCAGAGGGTTCAGAGGATTTCTGCGAGAGGAAAAGCGGAAGTTCATCTCCGGTCTCAACAGAGGGATGTGTAACGAAGTCAATCATCTTTGCTTGCTCGCTTGGCCCGGCCTCCTCGAAACTCTGCTATTAATTAACTTTTCTGACAAGTTATTAGCGCGACGA